TATATGCGGTGAGTTTATCTTGTATTCTGGAAAAATACACCCCAAGATTTCCTCCAAGCCCAGAGTTTGGGTTCCCACTGATAAGTATTTGGAAAGAGGCATGAACCCACTGGTCCTCCCCAAGGGGCTTCCTCAGTGGACAGAAGCAACAGTTAGCAGTCAACCTTGTTTCTTTTGCTTTTCACAGGTAGGCGGCTTTGATGGAGCTAATCGACTTAGGAGTGCAGAAGCCTACAGTCCAGCAGCTAATACTTGGCGCACGATCCCTACTATGTTTAATCCTCGTAGTAATTTTGGCATCGAGGTAGTGGACGACCTCTTGTTTGTGGTGGGTGGCTTTAATGGCTTTACCACCACCTTTAATGTTGAGTGCTATGATGAAAAGACCGATGAGTGGTATGATGCTCACGACATGAGTATATACCGCAGTGCACTGAGCTGCTGTGTAGTACCAGGGCTAGCCAATGTTGGGGAGTATGCAGCTAGACGGGACAACTTCACAGGATTAGCACTGCGAGATGAAGTAAAGTACTCTGCTTCGACAAGTACCCTACCTGTATGAGCCGCTTCATTTAGCTAATAAAAAAATCTAAGCAATAAGAATTAATTCTTTTTTTAAATAAATGCAGTGTTTAAACTTGTAAGAGTACAGGAAAAGCAAGGGTGGATGAATGAGGGAGTAAGGAACAGCACAGTTAAAAAAAAAAAAATCACACAGCACAAACCAGCTCTAAAGAAATATGTTTATTGAAAACTTACATTTAGACAGTAACACAGAACAAGATAGCTTCCGGAACATAAAACAAGCTATTTTACAACATAATGTCTCAAACTGTTCTAAATACGCTGTCCTCTGACCTGAAGGGACATGGAACCAAGATTGTATCTTGCACTGGGGCCTGGATATCACTAGTCAAAATCTGTTATTAACTAAATATTTACAAATAACACAACGAGCCCTTGAGCTCAGCACATGGAGTGTAAGAGCTTTAAACACCGAGCAGGCACAGCTGTTCAGGGGAGCACGAAGTGGGAGGATTAGGTCAGCACATGCGCTGACAGGTGGGCTGCACAAGGGAAGACGTTCCTAGTGATGGTCACAGGCTGAGACAAGCCCCACGAGGGTCACTGACAAGCAGTCATTTGGCTATTTAATTAAATTCCTCAAAGTAGAATGACTACTCTGTAAAGTTACTGTCCCTGTATCACAACCCCCAATTATGAGCTGTTTGGTTTCCAATGACCAGAACATACGCTAAAGTATTGCAACAACAACAAAATGGGCTTTTCTGGAGTGAGGAGCCAAGCCAAGATATCTGCTAGCTGAAGAGACTGAGCTGCTTCTCCAGCATTCCACAGTTAAAGCGTCGTATTTCACTAGTGTAGGAAGAATATTTGCTTCACAATACTATATACTGTCAAAGACATGAAATGTGACAAACACGCCCTTTTTACTCAAGCTTAATGTGGGGAAAGTACCAGAAAGAGGGATTTTTATTTATACCTAATTAGACCGAGTAAAGTATGTACCACAGCTCACAGTCTACGTGTAGTGTTGATACTAGAATCGTGAGGCAGAAAAGGAAGGTGCACCAAACACACCACGTGCTACAGCAGAGCGAGGGCAAGTGCACACTAGAGACCGTCTACCGGTCACCTGAAGGGTTTAACACACAAAAGCACACAAATCTTTCATAAACATACTCTCCAGTTTCTCAAACTTATGTTCTATATTTTTAAAAAGTCAGTACCTTAAAAAAACTTTGGGTCCCAGAAATACTAGACACAACCAGATAATCAGAACAAAACTAATGTCAATTAATTTTTAAGAGTTCTTAGCAAAAGTGTTATTTTGAACTGGCACAGCAGAAGCAAAGCTGACCATCAAGATATACAAGACTAATCATGCAAACTTCAAGTGACATGTTACTTAAACACTAAGCTCATGACTGACATTCTCAATTTCAAGGGTAGATGTAAAGGACCCCCATTCTCAGGTGAGTAGCCTCACTTAAGAGTTACAGGTGGCCTTTTCTTTTTGGTATAGTAAATTTCTCTATCAAAGAAAAACAAAAGCAACAAAACAAATGTTTATCTGGATACATTTACGCTGTCTTTTGAAAAGCTGCTTTTAACTGCTTAAATTGCCAAGCACTATGTTGAAATTTTCATCACAGAGATTTTCCAAAGAGCCACATTAGGCCTGCATGATTATCACTCCAATACTTGTTATTTCCAACTTAAAATTTCAGAATGTCAGCCTTGCACAGATTAAGCAAATCTGGTTTCTTTCCCTACTAACAATTTAGTTAAAATGTTTAGGAGACACAAATTACTGAGTTGAAGTCACACGTGAATTCAAATATGAAAACCAGAAACTCAGTAGTCAGGAGACCTGCACACAGGCATGCAAGGAAAGACTTACCCTTCATTCAGCCAGGGGCTAGGCTGCCTGCTGAGTCAAAAAAACAATGGTTCAATGAAATGTCTAAAACCAGATTATACCAGTCATAATCTTTTCCACATCATATGAAGAAAAAGATGAAAAGATGGTCCTATGGCAGCTTGGTAGTAACTGTCTCAGAATTATCTTCTGACAAAACCTCAAACACATCACATTCTCCTGGAGAAAGCTGCATTCTAACGAGATACTAAATCATTTACTTGCACAGTCCATCAGAGAGAAATGAAAACTCCCTCCAGTGAGCTTCACAACTCTCACAGCTAAGTGGTGCTTCCTAGAATTCAAAGGCTTTTATTATTAAAATAACTACGAAGAGGGCTAGGGATGTGACTCAACTGGTAGAGGGCTTACCCGCCTGTGCAAGGCCCTAGGTTCAATTCCCAGCATTGGGAAAAAAAAAAAAGAAAAAGAAAAACAACAAATCAACAAAAACAATAATAACAAAAAGCAAAGAAACCTAAAGAAACGGAAACAGAAAAAGTCAGGTGAAGGGGTTAGATAATATTATATCCTTTTTATAGAAAGGGACTTGCAATTTCCCATCCTTACTCCAGTCTAAATGGTTTTAAAGCAGATTTCCAACGTATTTATTAAAATCCTTGTCCTATGCAAAGACACTAACGTAGAAATTTCAGAAGTTATCAGTATAGAATCCAAGAGTTCATTAAGTCTTGCAGCAAGAGCCAAAACTTCTGCTTGTGCTTTTTTTCCTTTTAATATTCTATCATACAATGTTAACTCTAATGGGCTGGGGAGTGGATCACTGCATGTGGACTTTTAACTTCTAGAATGGTAGTCCAAGATTTGTAAAAGGTAGAGACATTCCTAAAAGAAATGAAAAAACATAACAGATCCACAGTACAAATCATTAGGAGTCTTTTTTCATCTTTTTGTATATTATTACTAGTTATAATTCTTTTGCTGGTGTTGGTTTTTCATTTAAGACAGGGTCACTATGTAGACTAGGCTGGCCTGGAACTCCTGATCCTCCTACCTTCACCTCTCAAGATCTGAAATTACAGGTGTGCATCACCACACCCAACTTCAACTTGAACAGGAGTGTTTAGAGATTTAGCCTGAACATCAACTTGCGGAAAGCTCAGCAACGTCAGAAAGTCAGGAGAATGGGGTGCTCCCGATGAGGCGTCACAAGGTCAAAGTTCATGATGGGGTGGGACATTCCAGTGATGCAGCTGTTCGGGAGTCACCCATGCTCTTTACAGCTCTACATATTGCCTGTGCTGACTGTCCTGGAGGAGGAAAAATGTGAGATTTGAAAGCACTGACTCTGACAACCGCCCTCCAGTGTCAACAAGCAACGTGCCACTGCTCTGCTGGAGAATGACACTGACCCTAATATGGACATTCAGGCAACACTGTTCTCTCCTATGTTGCAAAACTGCCTGAACATGAAGTGAACACCGAAGCAAGAAACCTTCACACCATCCTTATTCAGCAAACTACAGAGAGCAGAATTTTTATGAAAGAACAATGCTTATAAAGAAGCAACTGATAAACAGGACAGAACGGCCCTCATGCATACTGTAAGCTACCAACAAGCAGCTAGTCGGATGTCTTCTACGAGGTGAGACTTATCTCTGGATCAACCACAATAGAGCACATTACTGGTTGTCAATATCGTACTGACGTGGAAATCCTCTCTGAATATAAAGAGACAAGAGTCTTAAAAAGTCAGTCCAGAAAAACAGTATTTAGAAGTGGAATCAAAGGAAAAAGGTGTGAAAAGGTCACTGATGGGAGAAAAGGAAGCATGAGCATCATGGATTAGAAGTTCAGAGAACCTGCCAGAGGTGCTGTTGCAGCTGCTGCTGACCATGGTGGTGAGAGATTAACTCTACATTGGAGAACTGATCCCCAGGAGCTTCCTATAGAAGAGGATGAAGGAACACAATAATGGTTCTGCCTTGAATATGAAAGAGGAAAGAAATGCTCTTCCAGAAAACCTCTGACTACACCGACATTTGGGAAGCCATGTTCAGTCATCAAAGCTCTACCGCAAGGATGCTTATAGTTTAAAGTCCAGGATACAGTTAATTCATGAGGCAAACAAACAAGGTATCATGAACAACTGACGAAAAAAACTGAGACAGTGAAAAATGGAATTAGTGTACTCAGGAAGAGCTATCAAGACCAAACCAGTGAGGTCATGTTTTGGGGAACCCTGCTGCTAGGGTTGTAGTCCTCCATGTCTGAACAGCTCTAAGGGGCTCCATGCTATATGGAAGGACTCTTCTTCTCAGCAGGGGGCCTCCTGCTCTCTGCCTGACTTACCTGGAAAGTGCCGCCAAGCACGGATGCCTGACCTTATTTGGAACATGATCTTTGGCATAGTTACCTGGAGTAAAAACTACCCCAGGTTTTTTCTATATGATAATTAGACATTGTCCAATAATCGATAATAGGAGCCTACTGCCACATGTAAATAAAGCATACTATGAGCACCTATCAGCTGAAGCATTGGCTACTGCCTCCACACTATATTTTCCCTGACCCCCACTGAACCTGCCTCCCCGGAAGGGCTTTCTTCCGTCAGTGCTCACTGGCCGTCCTGACCCCGTTCGTTGCTTCTGCTCCCTTTGTCCTCGTGGACCTGTGGCCAACGACCCACAAGGAAAGGGAGAGAACCCACAATCATGTTAGATCCTAAGAAGTGGAACGGGAATAACTCTGCAATATGAGGTTTCCAAGAAACAAAAAAGAGCCGGCCGTGGTGGTGCACGCCTTTAATCCCAGCACTCGGGAGGCAGAGGCAGGCAGATCTCTGTGAGATGGAGCCCAGCCTGGTCCCAGGCCAGCTAATGAAAAAATTAAGACACAATTACCAGGAAAAGAGCTTTAAACAAAGAGACTAATGTGAATCTAACATACCTTTTTGAGGATACCACATACAGAATTAAATGAAATCAAATAAAACTTGAAAGAGTTGCAAAATACACAAAGAGAAGCTGTACAAAGTTCTACTAAGACACACGATCACTTACAAAAGCTAAAGTTCGAGAGTCAAGATAAAAGCTAAGCTAAAAGAGCAGGAAGGAACTGCACAGCCTCAGAACAAAGCACAAGAATGATCCTGACTCTTAAAAGAAAAGGAGGAAAGTATATTCCAAACATCTACATCCAACATAAAATTTCAATGCACTGAGCAGTAACATACTGTCAATAAAAACAGTGCAAAAGCAGTATGACAACCTATACAAGGTCTGGAAGACTTGGAGTTCTCTCCCACACCTGCACACAATATTCAACAAAACCAGCAAGTGGAGAAATACAGCCCGTGTGGAGGTGCACACCTTTAATCCCAGCACTGTGGAGGCAGAGGTAGGTGGACAGATCTCTGTGTTCAGGGCCAACTTGGTCTACAGAGGGAATTCCAGGCCAACGGACTGCACAATGAGATCCTGCCTCAAAAAAAGCAAAAGCAAAACAGAACAAAAAACTAAGAAATTAATGATGTATCCAAGGGAACTGAGAATTAACAAATCTTGAATATAAACTCTCTAACAGTTGAAGGAAATTCTAATGAAAGAAAAGTAGAAAAAAATTAGAATGTGGACTTACAACTTTGTTGTCACAGAAGCTAAACAAAATCAGAGGAAGCTGGTAAAACACAGCAGAAGAGGCAGAGGCAGCTGCTGCTGAACTTGATCCTTGGGCCTTTGGCGCTTAACCCTCAGGGTCTGTATGTAAGTCAAGACCTACTTTAGGGAGAATAAAAACATGTACTGATTGTAAAGGAAAAAAATTTTTTTTCTAAAAGATGACATTTATTTACTGAACTTTTTTATATGACATTTTAATAATTACCCATTAAATACATTATGTGAAAACTTTAAAATTTTAAGATCCAAAACTGTACCCAAATTTGGTATTCTAGGCTCAGACAAAGTTGCGATGAAAGTCTAGGGTGCCTAGGTAAAGTGTGACAACCAGGGACAGGATAGTCTGGCCGCCCTTAGCAGTATTTTTCTCAGCTGTTCCTTCCTTCCCACACAGGAGCAGAAGAGTGAAACTGAAGACGTGGTGTACCGACTGCCACAGGCTCTTAGCAGCCTCGGCTCTGCAACAAGTTTAAACTCTTTTGCTTTCTCAGCCTACACTTTCACTTTTTTTCTTGAGAAACAAATTTCACCTAAGGGACTTCCTCTGCAGCCAATAAGAGCTACAGATCAATACCTCCACCAGCCATCACCATCTGAGAATGATGGCTTAAAGTATAAATGGCTGTGGATGAAAAAAACCCCAAAGAAGCATGTGCCAACCACAAATTTCTCACCAGTCACCTCTTCTAATAAACAAAATGGCTTCTGCATATAAACACATACAAAACATCAAAGCCGGCATTCTAAAAATCAATCCTGCTGAAATATTGTGCTTTACATCAGAATTCAGTCTCACTATTACACACGCCTCCTGCAGAAGAGAGCTTAATGCATAAATTCTGATCTTGTTGAAGCCAACCGTTCCATGAAAAATTAAAAGAAATATCAAAGTAAATGTGCAAATAACATTGGTGCTTAAAGCCCAAAACATAAGTCCCTAAGACAAAGGAGTGACAGCCGGCAGAAAAACAGCCAAGGAACGGGACCTGCCTTTTCCACTTATCTTTAATACGGTCTTTCTTGCTAATACACAAAGGTGAACCAAAGACAGATGAGACTGCAAACTAACAAAAATGATCTTTTGAACCGAGTTTCCTGTTCGGTTTTTAGCTACACTTTCTTTATATAAGGTAACGATCAGTCCAACTAGAAAATAAGTTATCGACATACTTTTCCAAGTAACAGTCCAAGGATCTTCAGCCTCACACACCAGGGACAGCAGTGTGGAGCTGCACACGCTGGAGAGCTCAGCATTCAATCTGGGAGCTCGGCACACGCCGCATGTTCAGGGCATGCCGGTGGATTTCTTGCATCTGTCTGATGCGGTCCTTCTGCCACATTAAGTTTTGAGGCATAGGGTATCTCTGTGTGCCATGCAAATACCGGTATGGGATCCTGACGTGACAGGCAGTGGCTCTACAACGAGGCTGGGGCATGGGAGGAAGGAGCATCCACCGCTTTCTCTCAGCACAGTATCGGTAGGCTTCCTTCCGATACTGTTTGTCAATATCATCACTGTTTTTCCAGCCTCCGATAATAAAGACGTCATCTTTGTAATAGCAGATAGCTGCTCCTTCGATGCTTAGGACTTCTGGAGGCAAGCTTTCAAGGATCTCATCAGACACCTGGCTGGCAATTTTTCTTACTGCTTCTTCATTCTCTAAAGAATAACTCTTGGGACAGCATGACGCTGTCTGATAGAAGTTTGAATGGACCACAGACATTTGAAAAAAACAGTAATTGTCAATAAGTGGCAAAGATTCCACATCTTGCCACTGTCGAGTCTCTGTATCATAGCATGTAATGACAGCCTTCAACCCATCCTCAGTGTCCCGGTCCACAGGGGTGCGGGCGGCAATGTACACAAACCGGTCTTCAATGGCTAGTGCTTTGACATCTCGAAGAATCTTTGGTGCTGACTCCAAGTTGTGCCATTTATCGAGCTCAGGATTGTAAACAGTCACATCTTTAAAACCAGGACTAAAATTGCCATGTCCTCCAATGCTATACAGCTTCCCTTTGACTTCTGTTAGCCCAAAAGAATGCTTTCTTGTCATCAGACTACAAACATGTTCCCATGTATTCATATTTGGGTTGTACCTTTCCACAGTTTTAGCAAAGCCTGGTTCCATCGACCCAGCTACATATACGTAAGATTCTGTTACTGCAACAGCATGTCCATCGAGATGATTATGAATGTGGGGCAGATTTACCCATCTGTCCTCATCAACAAAATATCCCACACATTCACTTAAGTAGTCTCCTCCCTCTGAGACACCTCCAATAACCATGATCACATCCATGTTTTGCCCATAGCGAGGTAACAGTGAGACATGAGAAGTGGGATGCTGGAGTGCACCAGACTGCAGATTCTCTGCTCTGAGCGCATGCCTCTCCACTGCGTCGGCCACCAGCTTGACACAAACTTCATTATTGGCCACCAGTCTCTCTGGTTTGACGTGTCGAGTAAGGTAGGTAGGTTTCATCTGGGACAACCTGAGCAATTTAAAAAGTTCCTCAAAATATCTCTCTCTCTCTTCAGCATTTCTCTGAACCCACTTCAAAACCGTTTCAAAGAGAACCTCTTCAGAATCGACTGTAATTTCTAAGTCCGAAAGCCAGTCTCGAATGAGATGGAAAGGTAAAGTATAGAACTCTTCATCCTGAATGACTTTATGAAAATTTCTCCGTATCATATCAGCAGCTTTCAGAGCAAGCTGGCTCAGGGTGTACATGTGCGCTAAGCTATGGATGGCCACACAATTTGAGAGATGAAGCTTTTTCTTGAGAAATTCTCCACAAAATTCTTTTAAACGAATTAACAGGAATCTAGAATCAAGAAAAAAGAGATTAATTCTGAAATGTAGTATTTTGCATTTTAGAACCCAAGTAAAGGGGGAAGAAGAGAATCAACACTCCAAAGTTGTCCTCTGACCTCCAGATGTGCACTGTGGCACCTGCACCAACATACCAGTCTCATATCTTCCCTCCCTTCCTCCCTCCCCTCTCCCCCTTTCTCTCCAAGACAGGATCTCACTACATAGCTTTACCTGGCCTGGAAACTCGCTATGTAGACCAGGCTGGACTCAAACTCAGAAATCTACTTGCTTCTGCCTCTGAAGTGCTCGGATTAGAGGCATTCACCAACCATGTCTGGTTTTTGCTTTGTATTTTGAAACAGGGTCACATGTAGCCCAGGCTGGCCTTGAATGCATAGCTAAGGATGACTGAACTCCTGATCTTCCTGCTTCTTACCTCCCAAGTGCTAGATTACAGGCATACATGACCACTCCAGCTTTGGCCTCTTAAATGAGACAAGTTCTTGGTGAAAAAGTTTTACCCAGTATGATTATATAGTCTAAACTAGAACCAGGCAGGAACTGTGACTTCCAGGAGGCTGTTTGGTCAGATATCAAAAAGAGTGGCAGTATAGGCTTTGTGTTACGGGTCTTCATCTCCTCTTCATCTCTGGGCAGCCACAGGAGGTGGGATAGATACTAAAGGACTAAGGCTGGGTTCTCATTAAAATACGGATGGCAAAATAAACTCAAATATATGAAGAAGCCAGGAAACAAAACAGACACACAACAACAAAAACCATGCAGGATAGTCTAGATGACAAAAAAAAAAAAAAAAAAAGATCAAGTGGTTTGGCATGTTACTAATAGAATATTACCCGACCACCTAAATTCATATAAACTAAAACATCACAAAGTGTTACCTCCAATCATAAATCTTGGTAGCCATTTAGCCTAAGGTTGGTCAATTTGTAACCATGGCTATAAAAGAGAAAGACCCTATAACTGAGAACCTTAAACAATCAAAGAATAATTTCATCAACTAGACCCACTTCCATTCAATAATGATTTGTTATTATTGAGGCCAGCCTGGTCTACATAGTAAGTTCTAGGCCAGTTGGGGCTACAGGGAGACCCTGTCTCAAAAAGACCAAAAAAGAAAAAGAAACATTCCATTTTAGAGATAAAACAAAGACAAGGTGGAGGGTAAGGGCTCCAGAGGATCCCAGACAAGTCTGGGTCTAGGGCCACCTGATTCTCAGGCTGCCTTGAGCAGGTAATTCTGAGACATATTCCCTTAGACAGGCTTTGGGAAGCACTGCTCTATGAAAACAATGGCTATCACACCCTAGGCAGCTGCCATGTCCTGGGAACATCTGCATTTACTGAAGTACTGAGTGTTCAGCTCAGAGCCTCATAAATGCTAGGCAAGGGCTTTACCACTATTTTTTTGTTTGTTTGTTTTGCCTTTTTTTTCCTTTTTGAGACAGGGTCTAAGTTGCCCAGATTGGTCTTAAACCTGTGATCCTTCTGCCTCAGCCTTGCAAGTGGCTTCGATTACAGGCTTGTGCCAACAGATCTGGCTCATCCTATTATTTCTGATCTTTCCAAGTGCCACACAGGGCTGGATTACAAACAGTATATGTGGGTGGCGAGAAAGATGATGCTCCTGCCTCAAAGCGCATGAGATTAAATTGTTACAGGGCACTTACAACAGTGCGTGTGAAAGACAGAGCAAAGTTAAGTATTTTAAGTAAATGGACCAGAGTATTCTCTCCTCCTCACCTGACTCCTCAATAAAAAGGGGGCAAATTGAGAAGCAGTATCACACAACAGACAGAAATACAGCTTGACAATAACACTGCTCTTTGGAGTTTCAACAGTCTCCTTCCCATCTCACCCTAGTTCTAACGGATGGCCCAGCCTTAGAAGACAGAATAAGTGGGTAGCCTTCATCTCTCTACAGTCGATTTGCCTGCACCCTGTATCTTCTTTCCCAGCCCAACCTATTCCTTTTAATTTTAAAACTTCATGTGTATGAGTGTTTTGCCTGCATGTATGTTAGTGTACCATGTGTGTACAGTGCCCTCGGAGGTCAGAAGGTGTCGGATTCCTTGGAGCTGGAGTTTCAGAGGGTTGTTAGTGGCCACGTGGGTGCTGGGAACCAAACCCAGGTACTCTGCAAGAGCAGCCAGTGTTCTTAACCGCTGAGCTATCTCTCCAGCCCTCCTACCTATTTTTTAAATATTAAACTGTATTAGGTTTATAGTTGTTTCTATCTAATTGGCAAGTTGTCATTGCTTTTTTACATCTAGTTTTATATAGATTTAAATTTCATGGGACTGAGAGATGGCTCAGCAGTTGAGTGCACACTACTCTTGCAGAGGACCTGATTATGTCATGCTGGAGATCAAACCTAAAATTTCATGCATACTAGGCAACTACCAACTGAGCTACATCTCCAGCCCTTATTTACTTATTTTGAGACAGGGTCTCACTAAAAAGCCCAGACTGTCTCAGCCTCTCAAATGCTGGAATCACAGGTGTGCAACACCCAATCTTTTCAATTTTATATGGATTCTACCCTTCCTTGGTTTCAAAACCTACTCCTGTAGTCACTCCCCTATTCTTGTGTAGGGGAATTACCAATTTCTCCTCTTCCACAGAATTATTTTCTTCAGTATACAAGCATCTTCTACTATCTCCTATTTTAAAGACAAAAAAACTTCCCTTGGCCCTTCCCCAACATTCTCACATGTACACCATTTTTCTGATCCTATTTATCTGTGGAGCTGGGGATCAAACCCAGGGCCTTATGCATTCCAAGCAGGCATTTAACCTCAAGCCTAATCCTTCTAATGGAAACACTTAACTAAATCTTATCAACAGCATCACAGACCTCCAGTGATCGCCCACTAGTTGGCTAACCCCTCCTAGACACACTCCCTTCTTAGGTGTCTATGAGATCAGTCTACACCACTGGGTTCTTTAACATTGTAGAGAACCCCAGCATTCAGTCCCACCTGCCCTCTTTCCCTTTGCCATTTTCCATCTATACTTTAGGTAGTTTCATCTATTCTATGGCTTTAATTATCATTTATGATACTTTCCCCAAATCTGCATGGATTTCTACCTTCCATCTAATGCCTACCCTTTTGGTTTTTGTTTGTTTTTTTTGAGCCAGGGTCTCCTTGCATAGCCAAGCAGGCCTAGAACTCTTGATTCTCCTGGTTCATTCTCCCAAGAATTGGTATCACAGGCATGGCCACTTCTTCTGGCTCGTTTTTTCAATATAAAGATTAATGTCTTCTCAGTGTTTGATGAGATGGAAATGTCCCTGACTTGAAGGCATTTCCTATTTGTCAGGCTGTTTCACCCTTTGATTTCCTTGCTCTTTTTTTTTATAATTTGATGTGGCTACCCAATGCTCTTCTACCCAGTTGCCTACCCAGACATCATGACCAAGTCCAAACTGACCTTCTTCCCAAAACCGTTCTTCTCCATTTTTCCACATCTTTTGTGTGCGTGTAGAGGCCCAGGGAGTCATTGGGGATCTTTCCTTACCTACTCTCCAGCTTTAGTTTTTGAGACAAGGTCTCAATGAACCTCACCCATTGGTCTAGGTTAGGCTTCAAGGAACAGCCTATCTCTGCCTTCTCCCCCAAGACTGGGCTACAGACAACACACCAACTTTTTAGGATCTGAGTTCAAGACCCTGAACTTGCAGTGCAGGCACTTTACTCACTGAGCATCTCCACAATCCCTATTTTCTATATCTTAATTACAACTCTGTCTTTCCACTGCATGGGAGTCCACTGGCAAATTCATCTCCTCTACTTTCAAAACACAGACGTCATCACCTCTTTTCCCTTCTTAATCCAAGCCTCCACTACCATTGCAGCAACCCTCCCCAACCATCCTATCCTCTTTTCAATACAGAATTAGCAAATCAAACTACATTATTCTCAAAGCCTTCCAATCTCATTCCAAGTAAAAGCTCATCTCCTTCCGCAGGCCAACAAGAGATCCATCCTCACCACTACTGTGATACTCCTTCCACACAGCCTCCCCCCACCCAGCTAAATGAGCCCCCTGCTGCTCTCCAGCTCCACCTGGGCTCTGTCTGGTGTCCCCTACCTAAACACAACCTTGCCTCCTTCATTTCTTTGTTAAGTATCTTCTGAACATTTTCTATGCACCCTTCACTGACTTGATGGTACATGTCTTTAAATCCCAGCACACCGGAGACAGAAGCTGGTGGATATCTGTGAGATGGAGGCTAGCCTGGTCTACATATCGAGGTCCAGGCCAGCTGGGGCTACACGGAGACCCTGTCTCAGAAAGATAAAAAAAAAATCGGTTCCTACATCAGGGCCTACAATGCACAGTTCTGTATTTTACTTTGCATCACAGCATCATTCAACAAGCTATATTTATTGTTTAACAATATAAGTTCAGTGAAGAATGGGCTTTTTGTAATTTTGTTTATTATTTTTAGACAGGGTCTCTCTGTAGTCCCAGGTGGCCAGGAACTTGCGAGGTAGACCAGGCTCGGTGCCACCTCACAGACATCCACCTGCCTCTGCCTCCTGAGTGTTGCACCACCACACTAGACAAGGGGACTTTCATCTGTTTTAACCACAGCTAGATCTCCAGCACCTTAAGAGTCCACTGTCTACTGCTCAAGAGGTGTTTGTTAAAGGATCTATAACAATACTACCCAAACACTCCTTGTACACGGCATCCTGCCTCCTAACGCGTCCCTGTAGCATCCTTTCCTGCTCCTACAATCCATTTTCCACAGCAGCGGAGGAATCTTTTTAAATATTTAAAGCAGATCATTTCTCTACCCCGCTTCCCACCACACGGTAACATTCCTAACCCTTTTTTTCCAATGCATCGCACACACCCGTTCCTTCTTCAGCAGATACAGCCTCCCTGGATTTTCCTTTTTTAAAGTCCCTTCTCTGCCAAGCTGGATCTTGCCTGAGGCCCTTGACGCAGTCTGGAATGTTCATCGCCCATCTTTGCAAGCCAGTTTTCCAGCCATCCAGAGGTCAATTTAAATGTCCTCTTCTCCGAAAGGAGCTCTTTCATCCCTAAGCAACCTTTCCCTCCTTTTTAATGTCATCACGGCAGTCACCACACGCTGACTTTGCTTTTCACTGCCTTTGTCTCTCTCTACCTGGAATCTGCGTTCCCCAGCGCACTGCGCCCCCGCCAGCCACACAAGGGCACCCCGGATGCCAGGGGCACCCCGGATGCCAGGCGCCGCGGCTGCCCGGCCGCAGGCGCAGGGATGGACCCCGATCCGCAGATACAGCCCCACACTCCCCGCTCGGCCGTCCTCGTCTACCTGTCGGCCAGCTCCAGGACCTCGTGCACGCTGCCGGTGCTCACTCGGATGCGCCCGGTGTACATGTACTCGATAACGGCTTCCACCGTGTCGGGTTCGGGCCCCGGCTCCGAGCTCCACTTGCGCATCTCCACCCGGCCCGAGCGCGACTCGGAAAACTGGCCCGAGAGCAAGGGCGTAAAGTACTCGGTGGCGGCGGCCAGCACCGAGCGGTGGGCCCGGAACTCGCGACCTCCAGCCCCGCCAAAGCACAGGGTGATGTCGCAGAACAGGCCCTGGCGGCGCTGCTCGTTCTGCCGCCAGGACAGCTCCGAGCAGTGGGAGCTGCACTCGAAGTCCTCGGCCTCAGGGCCAGGGTCGCCCCCGCTCGCCTCCATGACAGAGAGCCCGGGCCCGAAGTCCACCGTGCCGCTGCCTCGCACCTCAGCGGCCAGGCCCGCGGACCCTGGGGCCGCGGTCTCCATGCTCTCCATCTCCAGCACCTGGAGGGACGCGGCCGCCGCAGCTGCCGCCGCCGCCGCCGCCACCGCCGCCGCCATCTTGACTCCGCTGCACCGACCGCCTCGGTTTCGAACGGTGCGGCAGTTCTGGTGCCACACCGGAGGATTCTGGGATTAAATAGTGCTCGGGGCGGAGCCCCGCGTGCGCACTTGCGCCATGCTTTCAGGTACGCGACCTCGCGACAGCCAAGCAGGACTCCTTCCTCTGAGTGCATCCTGCTCTAGTTTGTTCTTCACAGCGAAGGACCTGCTCCCATTGCTGAAGCCTTCGGTCAACATGGGCTTTCTACTTAAGATGGCTTTGGAGTTTGTCCTCAGCACCACACACACACACACACACACACACACACACACACACACTCCCCATAAACACTTTTTAAAAATATTTTTATTTTCATTTTATGTGTATGCGTGTATTGCCTGCATGTATGTGAGTTGCACCCGTGTCGTGCAGTGCCGCGGAGGTCAGAAGAGGGCTTCGGATTCCCCTGGAACTGGAGTTATGGACGGTTCATAGCGGCCCTGTAGGTGCTGGGAATCGAACCCGGGTCCTCTGCAAGAGCAGTCAGTGCTCTTAACCCGCTGAGCCATCTCTCCAGCCCCTCAACATAAACATTTCTTCTTTTTTAATTTTATTTATCATTTTTATTTTATGTGTATGTGTGTATTGCCTGCAATGTAAGTAAGTGCACCCATGTAGTGCAATGCCCGCGGAGGTCAGAAGAGGCTGTCAGATTCCCTGGGACTGAAGTACGGACAGTTGTTAGCTGCCATGTGGGTGCTGGGATTCGAACCCGTGTCTTCTACAAGAACAACCAGTGTTCTTAACCACCGAACCATCTCTCCAGCCCCAACATAAACATTTCTTAAAAACTATTTTATTATTTTTATTTTAAACGTGTATGGGTGTATTGCCTGCATGTGTATAAGTGCACCCATGTCATGCAATGCCCTCGGAGGATCCCCTGGAACTGGAGTTACAGACAGTTGTTAGCAGTCATGTGGGTGCTGGGAACCAAACTTGAGTTCTCTGTAAGAGCAGCCAGTACTCTTAAGCACTGAGCCATCTCTCCAGCCCTATTTTGTTTAAGACATGGTCTCTCATGGAACCCAAGGTAGCCACAAACTTGGAATTTAGGATGACCTTGAAATCCTGAATCTCCACATCCCAGTTGTGTTGGGATTATTCACTTGAATTTTACATTAACTATGTTAAGTTGTCTTAGGATTTTAAGCATCCCAGCACCAAATAAATAGCCTTGGAGAAAAACTTTTTGTTACAATTATTTATTTTGTGTGTGGGCACTTGGTGTGGAGATCAGAGGACAATTTGAGAAAGTTGGTTCTCTCCTTCCACCATGTGGGTTCAGAGAATGGAACTCTGGTCATCAGGCTTGGTGGCAGGCACCTCTATCTGCTGAGCCATCTCCCTCCCCAATTTAGTTTCTAAAATTAGTGTGTGCACTCATGTCACAGTGACTTGCTGGTGTCAGTTCTCTCCTTCCACCATGTGGGTCTGGGGAATCAACTTAGGTAGTCAGGATTGGCAGCAAATGCCTTTACCCAATGAGCCATCTTTCTGGTTCACAGAAAAAAAAATTCTTAAAGATATATTGGGAGGGGGGCAGGAGAGCCAGCTCAGCAGATAAGAGCATTGACTGCAGAAGACCCTGGTTTTGTTCCCAGCACCCACATGGTGGCTAACAACTGGCCTCTAACTCCAGTTCCAGGGGCTCTGGTGCCCTCTTCTAGCCTCGGAGGGCATTGCATGCACAGGTGTGCTCACATACAGGCAAAACATTCATGCACACAAAAGATTCATTTTTATTATATGCATGTGCGTACATGTGTCTGTTAGTATATCTGCACATGTGTATGGATGCCCATGGAGACCAGAAGAGGGTGTCAGATCCCTTAGAGCTGGAGTACAAGCATTTGGGAATTGACAGGGGGACTCTGGATCTCATGATAGAGCAGCAAGTGCTCTTGACCATTGAACCATCTCTCCAGACCCCCCCCCAAAAAAACCAAACTATATATATATATATATATATATATATTCATTTAGACAGAATCTCCCTTAGCCCCAGCTGGCCTGGAACTTGCTATGGAGACCAGGCTGGCCTCGAACTCAGAAATCAGCCTGCCTCTGCCTCCCAAGTACTGAGATTAAAGGTATGCACCACCACACCCAGCCAGAAAAATATTTTTAAAGGGATATTAAAAGACTTAAGATTTTTGAGTCTCAGTTGGGTATGGTAGCACACAACCTGTAATCCCAGCAGGCAGGACCATTTCCAGTAGGTCAGCCTGGGCTAGACTCTCCAAACTAATCCTCAGCTAAGTGGATGAAGGTGAAGAAGTGACTTCTTATCTCTGAATCAAGAGCTGGGCTGGAGAGACAGGGCTCAATGGTTAAGAGTACTTGCTGTTCTTGCAGGGAACCCAGATTCGTTCTCAGCACCCACATGGCAGCTTACAACTGCCTGTATCTCCAGTTCCAGGATATCCAGTGCCTCTCCCTACCTGCATGCACATACATACATTTATGTGTACAAGGCAAAACACTCATACACATAAAAATAAACAGACCTTCAGAAATATATGAACTGACCTAAGCAAACTCAAGCAGACAAAAACCCAGCACAGAACTGTGGAAATGGACAGCAGGCCCCAAACTTAGTGGAAGAATTATTGGCAGTTGATTACTACTGGGTGAGGAAGAGCTGATCTTCTTAAAGGGAGGGACTCTCGACAGGTTGACTAGACTTCAGTGGATGAATTTATAGTGAGGGACGTGTGGGGACACTAACTTTACATGATAGGTCTTAACTCAAATGACAGAATGTGGCTGGGTGTAGTGGCCCATGCCTTTAATCCCAGCAAAGGCAGGTGGATCTCTGTGAGTTCAAGGCCAGCCTGTTCTACGTAGTGAATTCCAGGCCAGCTGGAGCTACAGGGAAACCTTGTCTCAAAAAGACCAACCCCGCCCCCCCAAAAATGACAAATGACAATGTATGAACTCCAGTGGGGGTGCTATGGGTGGGGCCGATGGGGAAAGGGTATTAAAGTTGATTAAAATGTTCTATATGAAATACACAAAAATTCAATAAAAAATTAAAAAACATATATCTGAATTACTTTATAAAAACATGAATATTGCCTACTTTGGAAGATTCTGGGATTAAATGAGGTAATGCTGAATCAAATGTTTGCTGCATAATTGCTATTTCATATGTACTAGATAAAAAAGAGTAAGAGCCACTTTTGCATTTTAAGAAAGGGAGTGGCTCAATTTGATTTTATTTTTACATCTGTGTGTAGGTGTGTGGGTGTGTGAGTGCGTGAGGGCCCTGGTGTGCCTGTGAAAGTCAGAGAACTTGTGGAAGTCACTTCCACCATGTGAGTCCTAGAGATCAAACTTAGGTTGTGGGCTTGGTGGCAAGCACCCTTACTCAGTGAGCTGTCTCTCCAACCTTCAACTTGATTTTTTAAAGTAGCACTGGTGTCAGTATGGAGGATGGCTTGTATGGGGACAGAAAAGGAAATAAAGGCACCATCTGGTAAAGCAGATGGACAGATCAGAGGGCAGGCAGGTCAAGGGTAAATCAGCAGGACTTGGAACCCAGTGGAGAAGAGTGACTTCCCAGCTTTTGGCTTCAGAACGTGGGTAGAGCCTTGGTTACCATCCACTGAGAAAAGGGGAGGTACAATTTAGGAATGCATTTTTCTTGGAGGCAGAGGCAGGCAGATCTCTGTGAGGCTAGCCTGGTCCGCATAGCAGGTTCCAGGCCAACTGGGGCTACAGGGAGACTCTGCCTCAAAATATAAAAAAAGATTTACTCTAATTATATATGTGTGTGTGTGTGTGTGTGTGTGTGTGTGTGTGTGTGCCTATGCACATGAGTGCAGGTGCTCACAGAAGCCAGAGTTGGCATATCCCCTAGGAACTGGAGTCACAGGCAGTTGTGAGCCATCTGACATGGTTGCCGGGACTTGAATTCGGTTCCTCTGGAAGAGCAGTACATGCTCTTAACCACTGAGCCATTTCTCCAGCTCAGGTTTTCATATTCTTTTTTGAGATAGTGTTTTAATTCTATTTTTCTTTTCAAGAGGTGGAGGAATATTTTTAAACACTTAAACTGGGTGTGGTACCACAGGCCTTTGATACCAGCACCATGGAGGCAGAGGCAGATGGATTTAAGATCAAGGTCAGCCTGTCTACATAAGTGAGTTCCAGGCTATAGGGAGATCCTGACTCAAAAAAATAAAAAAATTTAAAAACCCAAAACAAAAAATACTCAAAGAAATACAGACACTGTGGATGACCTGAAATGGCAATAGGCCTTCATTGTTACTATATAGTTTATTTAAACCAAACATGATAATACAGAGAAGAGACAGAGGTGGCAGCTGCCCAGACTCTTTGTGGGTTATAGATGCAAAACAGCTAGAGATGAGTCTTTGGACCCACATTTTAGTAACAGACAAGTCAGCTGCATAAATACAGAGCACATAAGACACAAAACAGTTCACAGCTTTTTGCTTTGCCCTTCCATTTTAAACACATGTATGTTACAACTTTACATTTTAAATTATTACTCCAGGTATGTATGACAATAGCTAAGGATGCAATGGTCCCACCCCTCTACCCCCCTGACATAAGCAGACATTGATCTGTAACACAGAACATTTCAATGGGATACTAAATAAACCCTCAACACAGAACATAGAAAAAAGATCTTTAAAAATCAGATTAATACAATGTTCTTCATGTTGTATGAGAGGATGAACGGAAGTGGAAAAAAAAAAACATGTCAGTAGGGCCTTTAAAGGATAGTCTCTTAAGTCTTAAAAGTTTCATTCCCTTCCTCTGAGGGGGAAAAAACATTTTTAACTAATTAGAAAGAGAAAGCAACATCATACACCCTACAAGGAGGAACACTATTCTGACAGTACTTAGATGCTTCCATATATAAATACAGCGGGGAGCAGAGCAAATGTCATAAGAATCGGCTTGGGTTTTTTATTTCTATGCTTATAAAAAAAATACTAAACTTCTTTGTGTGGACTGAGTGGGTACTG